TTATTTTTAAACTTTTTATTAATTTTATATATTTTATATATAAATATCTAATTTATTTATATTAAATGTTTTTTAAGAAAAAACTAAAATCGTCTCACGAATCGGTCGAAGCACCGAATTGTTTCATTTTTCTCACCAAACCGAAGAAGACTCCGAAACAAATGTGACAATACTGGTTGGAATAGTTTTAAAGGGGCAAATTGTTAAATAGTGGAAAAAAATGGTTGTATTTTTATTAATTTCACTTTTTATTTTAACGTGTATAATATGCTCTCCTAAGAGCATCTTGTATAGTAACTTCTTCGTCCAAAAGAGCTACATACCCACAATTTGATGTCCTAAAAATAGGGTTTTACCTGAATGAGCAGATGGATAGTACGTTCCTTTAGGGGCAGGAATATGAGTTTTTATTTTTTGAGTGTTATGATAGTAGTATATGTATAACTCTATTTTGCCATAATAAACTTGGTGAAACCTCTTTGGAAATCCATCCCCTAGCTTGCAAAACAAGGTGCAATATCTGTACTTAAGCCTAATACCCATAGAAACCTTATCCTTCTCTTAACTTCATGCTATAACATATATTTATTTCCTTCAAAATCATCATGATTAAACATATTGACAAACTTTCCCTAATCTTTAAAAAATTGAAACAACAAACATTATCAATAAATTCTGTGCCATAAAATACTCACAAAGAAATCGGTGGTCTTGAGCTTTTCACTTTTGAAAACTTTTTCAACATTTTCTCACTATCCTTTGAAATTTTCACTTAACACAAGGTGAAGTAAAGCTCAGTAGTGGAGAATCTGATTTGGAAATAGCCAATCCTAATAGAATTCAATGTGTGGGTGAACCAGTTCTCATATGTACTTGAATATCAAAATTCCCACTTATTTATAACTTTTAGTAATTTTTTTTTGCTTGACTCGTGGTGGATTCACTGACCTACATCAGCTCCATGGGTGAACAAGTTTAATCTACCAATCCATGTTTTAAAACACCAATGTATCTATGTATCACACTTTATTTTTTAATTATACCCCCTTGTAAGTTTTTAATCTAACACAAGGTGAGTTAAACTCTTGAATAAATAATTTCCATTTCTTCACCTATTTTAGTTCATCTGATATTTAACACTGTACTTTGAAAATTTTCACTTATAACAGGGTGGGATGATTCTCATTGGCTTATTTCTTTTAGAATTGTTCATGGCTCATATTGAATTCATGTTTAAAAATTGTGAGTTGGTTGGTTGAAATATCACTAAAAAAGTTACAATATTCCATAAATAGTTAATCGTGTACTTGTGTGACGAAACCGCCGCGTCTTTTCCACGCGTCGTCGCTTTACACGAGCGAAGATCCACGCGTTCTTAGATTGGGTCAATCCAGCACGTAGGTTCTTACACGTGTCAAGTCCCCATTTCGTCTGTGCTCTTTCTAAAGAGTTTCGATTGTGCCCTTTAACTGGATGGCAATATGTTGACTCAGGAATCGGCGGGCCTGGGATTGGGTACAGCTGTACTAAAAAGAATTTCGGTTTGAACTTGAGGAAATTACTTAGTTGCCACTGTATACAGAAAATACAAAAACTTCATAATCAGCAATGACTTTACTAGGACTCCGGATGGACCACGCGGTACGGCCCGGATAAAAGGGTCTAGGCCACTATAAGTAGCTTGAGGGCTCGGAAGGGCAGCAATAAGAGAGGCACGACCTTTCCTAATTTTTGTTCTTTTATTTTTTTTAAAAAACTATATTTAGCCGGGCCCCTGATAAGGCCATGGCTACGCCAAGCTTGCGATGGGCCTGTAGGGACAAGAGCTGGGTTTTAGTTGGGGTTGTCCTACCTCAGACTTAACCCATTGGCAACCTAACTAAATTGTCAGATGTGAAATTAAGCAGTTAAGAGTGGAACGACACTAAAAAGTGTGAAAATATTTTCTCATATATTGTGTGGACAAGTGAACAAATGCCAACTTCTCTGATTTTACATGCTTGGAATGTTAATGATAGTTTGATCAGAGGTTATTGTCCCACTGTATGCATTATGTGTGAAATGCTCTCACTTAATTTAACTTCATTTAAAGAATTTCACCTTGGAATGAATCTAAAATTCCTAACCTCGCACCTACGGACATGAGATTTCATCTATTATTTTTTTTCTTTTCTTTTTTTGGGATGTATTTATAGAATTTTTTTTTTCGAACTTGTCATATTTTTTTGTTTTTCGAATTGTTTCTAAAAATTACAACCTTGTGGCTTTTAAAACACTCTCCTTATCTTTTCTTTCACCAACCCAAAATTGATTATGAACTCATTGGATTCCTAAAATGGTGGCTTTATTGGCATAACACCATTGTTTGGGTTTCACTAAAATTGTGATAACCAAGGTTTATAAAAACACCGATTTAGATAGAAACTAGTTGATTCGGATTCAAAATTGTCGATGGTGAATCTGCCCAGGTAAAATATTGGAAATTGGCAGGTGCCCCTCATGACATGGTCAGTTTTAGTCGGTTCTCTGACATAATCGATTAGTTTTATTTTTTATTTTATTTTTTTAGTTTTTAAAGTTTTTGATATAACTCGATCTGGAAATCATAAGGCAGATCTAGATTGCCAATCCATCGAACCCATTAAAAAATCTGGATACACCCCATCTATTTTTTAAAACCTTGATGATAATAATTTTTATGGCAAAAGAAAAAAATCCTAAAGGGTATTGCCTAGGTTACAAAGGGTAATAAAGTTCAAATAACGAGAATATGAAAAACGAATGGTTGATGTCAAGGTCTCGATATTCATGGAAATTTTGTGTCCAAGGGTATTATTGGAATTTTCAGAAATAGTGACATATTTAATATTTTTTGGTTTGTTCTTGACAATGAGACTTTTTCTTCATGATCAGTTCACTGATTAACAAAATACTTTATCCGTTCACCAAACTTCCCTCGTGGAAAGAATGATTCATGGATGAATTTGCCACGCTAAATAAAATAAAATAGATAAAACATAATACACTACCTCAAGGGAACCAATATTTCTTTTATTTTTAAATATAGATTTTAAATTATTTTTTTAAAAAAAACCTACCTTTTAAACGTGTTCCTCCTTGTGGACCAAGCATCTCACCTGCCATTTTCGTGGAAACCAATTAATCATTGTCGCTTAAAAAAATGTGGAAGGGAAATGATAAATTAGGAGAATTATAATTTGACCATTATTTTTAGAGAAAAGTGAATAGATTTTGAATTTCTAAATACTTAGATTTGCGTATCGAAAATTTAGAATTTTTAAATACTTAGATTTGAGTATGGAAATTTTAGATATTCTATGTTCAATCTAAGAACAATGCTTTTTTTATGTGCATGTCAATATTGTTCTTTTTTTCATTTCTTTTTTCTTCAGGGGGTGATGGCTTGGTTGAGGCATACTTATTGGAAAAATTACAAAAAAGATCCCAAGCGCACACTTTTTATACAACTTACCCCAACCTAACCTTTTTTTCACTTTTTTCGCCAAAACAAACTTTCTATGTAAATACCTCCAAGAGAAAAAGTTAATTTTTTTAGATGGAAATGCCCTTTCCATACACGAAAATCATTTTGGCCATATTTGATATTGACTTTTAGACCCCACTAGCACATTGCAATAGCGCACCATCGCATTGCCAAACCTATTATTCCAAAAAGTTAAGAGCAACTCTATAATTTTTACTATCGACCATATAACTCCAGAAGTATCTACTGACGGACCGCCTTTTGCAACTGCGAGAGCCCTGTAATTCTAAAAGTTTTTCTACTAGACAGCACTTGCACAGTGCCGGAGCCTTCTGACTCCAGAGTGTTCTATTGTCGGACTGCACATACACAATGCTGGAGTCCTATGACTCTAGAGTGCTCTACTGCCGGACTGCACTACACAATGTCAGAGCCTATTTTGGTGGGATATAAGAGATAGAGGCATGGGTAAGGTAAAAGTAAAAGAAGGTAGTTTAGGCATTTTTTTATTTTTTATTTGGTTGGGGGTTTTTGCTGTATTTTGGAGAAAAAATGAAAGAAAAAGTTAGGTTAGAGGTAAGCTACATAAAAAGTGTAATCTTGGGGTTTTTTTGTAAATTTCTCAAGCAAAATAAAACTTTCCTAAAAAATCAGCTCGATCATATTTGATTGATTTTATCTCTTGAGTTGTATGATATTGACCAATTTGATTCGCGAAATAAAGTTAATAAGCACTTTTTTAATATAATTTATACTTTTAAATTTTTATTTTTATTATTTATTTAAAAATTATGATCAACCAATTTAATTTACAAAAAAATAAATTTTGACTAGATCAAACTCTTCATCAGTTTAATGGTATATTTCAATCCTTGTAATAAACGCCTAAAAGTACTCATACAGGTTTATACGGGTTTTAAGGCGAAAGAGTAAATAATTTATGTACTCTGCAACTCCTGCATGAGCATATACCTAAATATTCAATGTAATGCTACTTTACTTAGGGATGTTTGGATATCGAGATTTTTTTAATCCGGAGAAAAGGTAATTTTGGAATTAAAATTTACTGGAATTGACATCTTTTTGGAATGACGAATGAATTAATATGAAAATTTACCAAAACACCGCTAATTTATCAATTATTAATATTTTTACCCATTTCAACTACACCCATGCGTACATTATGGGTTTTGAAATTAAATTAAAAATGTGAAATATGAAATCCTTGACCAAACCTTATCTTTTTTATTGAATTTAAAAGTATATGCTGCCTCTATGAAAATTTGAATGTTGACTTTTTGACCACGTAAAGAAAAACGCACACATGTGCATGCCGCCTTTGTCACGTATCAAATAATCAGCGACTTTAAGCCTTCGCACATGCTTGTTTTTTTTCATTAACACCGATTAATTCATCCACCAACCATTTTCTCTCTCTACCATTGTATTTTGTCTTTGTATTCTCTCTAGTTTTTATTTTCTCTCTATTTTTTTTTTTACTCTTTTCCAAGTCCAACAACACTCGGCCTACTTTGGCCGCTTCAACATTATCTTCCTCCTTCCCGGAAGAATCATGAGGCCCGCCCTTCAATCAACCTACTCCCTTCTTCACCCGCTATAAAACCTCCCCTCTCCCTCTCACTTAGCATCACCACTCCTCTTCTCTCTCTCTCTTCTACTTTCTTTCTCTCTCTACCTACTCCCTTCTTCACCCACTATAAAACCTCCCCTCTCCCTCTCACTTAGCATCACCACTCCTCTTCTCTCTCTCTCTTCTACTTTCTTTCTCTCTCTAACTGTGTATCCCCACACTACTTCACCACTCTTCTCTCTCCCATCTCCCTATACTCCTCTCTCTCTCTCTCTCTACCACCCATTTTACACTCTTTCATTCACTGCATAACCACGCTCTCTCTGGTTATCTGCATAACCATCCTCTCCCATTATATGTAAACCCTCCCCTCTCTCTCTCTCTCTCCTGTTTTCTCATCCCTCAAGAACTGCATAGCCTTTCTCTCTCTATAACTTAAAAGAGTTTCTCTCACTAAAACACCAAACAAGAGAAAGATGGGCAGCCTCCCTGAGATCTTCGACTCCTCTGCCATGGCTGCATCCCACCCTCTAGACCCCGAGGACTTCCGAAAGCAAGCCCACATTATGGTCGACTTCATCGCCGACTACTACCAAGATGTCGAGAAGCTCCCAGTGCGTAGCGAGGTCAAGCCCGGATACCTCCGGCACTGCCTCCCGGACTCCGCCCCTTACAACCCCGAGCCCCTCGAGAACATCCTTGAAGATGTCAAGAGCCACATCGTCCCCGGCATCACCCACTGGATGAGCCCTAACTATTTCGCTTACTTCCCTTCAAGTGGTAGCACTGCCGGGTTCCTCGGAGAGATGCTGAGCACCGGCTTCAATGTCGTGGGCTTCAACTGGCTCTCGTCGCCTGCCGCCACCGAGCTCGAGAGCATCGTGATTGACTGGATCGGTAAAATGTTGTGCCTTCCCAAGTCTTTCTTGTTCTCTGGAGGTGGTGGGGGTGTCCTCCAGGGGACCACCTGCGAGGCCATCCTCTGCACCCTGGCAGCGGCCAGAGACCGAAAGCTGAAGAAGATTGGGGGTGACAAGATTGGCCAACTTGTCGTCTATGCCTCAGACCAGACGCATTGCGCCCTCCAGAAGGCAGCGCAGATTGCCGGTATCCGCCCCGAGAACTTCCGTGCCGTCCCAACAACAAAAGCCTGCAACTTTGGGCTCTCGCCCGCTGCCCTCCGCAGGGCCATGGAAGAAGATGTGGCAGCGGGGCTCGTCCCCCTCTATGCCTGTGCAACAATAGGAACCACCTCCTCCACTGCCGTTGACCCCCTGGAAGGCCTCGGCAGGGTTACCAGGGACTTCGGTGTCTGGCTCCATGTAGATGCCGCTTACGCCGGCAGTGCATGCATATGCCCGGAGTTCCGTCACTTCCTTGACGGGGTCGAGCTTGCTGACTCGTACAGCATGAACGCGCACAAATGGTTCTTTACGAACCTCGACTGCTGTTGCCTTTGGGTGAAGAACCCCGACGCCCTGGTGCAATCGCTGTCGACGAACCCCGAGTACCTGCGGAACAAGGCGACAGAGTCGAAGATGGTGGTGGACTACAAGGACTGGCAGATCGCACTATCGAGGCGGTTCCGGGCCCTGAAGCTCTGGATGGTGCTCCGGAGCTACGGGGTGAGCAACCTCCGGAACTTCCTCCGAAGCCACGTCCGCATGGCCAAGCAGTTCGAGGGACTTGTGAACGCCGACCCCCGGTTCGAGATCGTCGTGCCGAGGACGTTCGCCATGGTGTGCTTCCGGCTCACGCCACCGACTGGGTCCAGGTGGGAGACCGACAACGGCGAGGAGCTCAACAAGGAGCTGCTCGAGGCCGTGAACTCGACTGGGCTCGCCTACATGACGCATGCCGTGGTCGGCGGCGTCTACATGATCCGGTTCGCCACCGGTGGGACGCTCACGGAGGAGCGGCACATTTCGGCCGCATGGCGCCTGGTGCAGGAGCAGGCTGAGGCCTTGGTAGGGACGTACAAGGCCAAAGAGGTCTAAATATTGTGTGGAGGGTGGGAATACTAAAACCCCACTTGCACATTCGTACACGTGATTTTTTATCTTGTACCTTGGAGCAGGCGTGTTGGTCCACAGGAGGAGTAGGCGTCTCGGTCCACAGGATGAGCAGGATTGTCTATTGCATATTGTGTCAATCTTTTATTCTTTACTAATTTTTGTACACACGATCATTCTTCTACATAAAGACAGAGGAGGTCCTCGATTATTTTATTACGATGTCCCATTTAGTTTCTAAAATTGTCCAATGACTTTTTATCTTTTCTCATTTTTAACTTTTTATTTATTGAAATTTTTTTCCAAGTCTCTTCCATTAATTGCTATTAATCTCTATCTCGCCATAATTACTGCTGATATTATTTCCATTCTCAATTATTATTTACATACATAATATGCCTCCTTTATATATCTCTCCAATCTTTCTCTCTCTACAATTACCTAAAACTCTCCTCCACATTCTCTTTCCTCCCAACGTATCTCTCCCATCGGTCCCAACTTTAGGTCTCATCCTCTTCCGCTCCCTTGATAGGAGGTCCCCATTTATTTTTTACATGCGTCCATTTACTTTTCAAAATTGCTCTATGATTTGTTATTATTTCTCTATTTTGACCATCTTTTTATTAATTTTTTTCAATTCTCTTCTATTAATTGCTATTAATATCTCTCTCCCTGTAATTAGTCCTAATGTTTACCCCACCCCACCTTTCTATATCTCCATATTTTTCTCTCTCTATAAATCAACTAAAGTTCTCCACATTCTCTCTCCTCCCAACTTATCTATGCCATCTATCCCTACTTTATCTCTTCCTCTTCCCCTCCATTTAATAATCTCTTATTCTCTCACATGTATGTATATTTTTGTAATTAAAAAATACATATATTAATTATATTTTTAATATAAAAACTACTAACAATCATGTTTCTTGCCCTAGTGAAAAAAAAAAAAAAAAAAAGGGAAAAAATATATGGGCTGGGCTATTGCCCCTAGCTTGGGTTGCCCTTTTCATTGCCAGCCCTAGGTTGTTTGCGGATGGGTCGACTCATGAGTCTTGCATGATTTCTATGGGTCCTAGAACCTAATACACGTCAGGAATCACCACAGATCTATTTCTACCACAAATCCATGAATTTGGACTTCCAAAAACAAAGCAGATTTGATAATCTCTAGAGAATCAAAATTACTGCTCCAAAAAAGAGGTACAAAATGGCCCATTTTTGGACCAAAGATTCATTTTCTTTCCAGATTCATGTTCACGGTGGTGGTCGAGATGATAGACCAATAAAATTTGGGGGCCCAAAATCCTCAAAGGGTAGATATATTGCAATAGTTGTATTCATAAACACATCTGACATCCTTTTTGTTGAACCTCAGAATTTGCATGTGTTCTCCACTCATCACAGAGATCTAAGGGGAAGAAAAGGGGGGAAAAAAACTGAACACAGACCTTAAAATGGTAAAAAATAGTTAAGTGGACATAAATCATCCATTGGACACTAAGATTAAGGCTAAAAAAGAACTCAAATGCATCTTTTTAACTGCATTATATATTGAATCTAAATTTGACGTAAAATAATCGTCCAAGTTAGTGTTACATAGATTAATTGTTATTTTTCCATATATGTTGGTATTTAGTATGTGTTGGAGTATCTAGTATGTAGGGCTAGTTTTAATTGTTATTTTTCCATTTTAAATGGAAGTGCTTTATGCAATATAGTTTCATATGTAAGTTGTCCTAGGTTCAAGCTGTGCTCTTGTCAGTCTTGAATGCTTTCGTATTTTTTATAGTGAAAATATCTTCATATTTTTTATTTTTAAGTTTTATGTCTCAATAACCAAAAGTTTCAAAACATATATAAAGTCATAAAAATTCTAGCTTTTGTATTTTTTAACCTCCAAAGCTAATTTTATCTCTTTTAAATTTATTTATTTTACCCAAAATAAATATAAAAAAAACATATCATTTCCAAACCCGATCCTCTTTCTCTATTATTAGATTTTCATTTCTAAACCCCATCCTTTCTCTCTACTTTTCTTTAAAACTCTCTCTCCATAACTTTCCCCACAAACTTTCTCTCTCTATTTTTTCACTCCGTCTCGTTCCGTCTCACTCTCCCTCGCCCGGGTTTCCCTAAATCCCTCTCTCTCTCTCTCTTCTCTCGCTAAAACTCCTCTCCCTTCTCTATCTAAAATTCTGCACATGTTAAGAGTCCATGCTTTGAGGCCTAACACCAATAAACACTTCTTTCTAGAACCCCATGATTTTCACAGAATCTGTCTCCTGTTCTTATTTACTGTCTATCTCTCCAGCAAGAGAAAATCCCCAAGGCTGGTGCTCATGTCCATGCTTAAATAGTCTAGTATGGGTTCATCAAGAAAACATTTTTGCCGAACAATTTGCTCGTAATGTATTCCAAGTGCCACTTTTGGGTGAAGCCTGCAAAGTTTTTGATCGGACTCCTGAGAGAAACCTTGTATCTTGGACTTCCATGATCACTGGAACTGTTAAGAATGGATGGCTGGTAGATAGGTTGTTCCTCTTTCTAGAGATGAAAAGGGGAGGATTCATGGCCAATGAATTTGCTTTGGGTAGTGTTTTGATGGCCTGTTCAGGCTTAGAGGCTCTGAACTTTGGGTTTTCATTGCATGGTTATGCTCTAAAGATCGGAATTGAGCTTAACTTATTTGTTGGGTGTGATCTATTGGATTTCTATGGAAAATTAAGGCTCATTTCCATGGCAGAGCATGTCTTTGAGAGCATTACAGATCCTGATGTAGCATGTTGGAATGCCTTGGTTGCATGCTATGTGAATAATAGAGTTGCATTTTCTGGCAATTTTGATAGTGGTCACCAAGTCCATGCCTTTGATTATCCCATTTAAGGTGAGAAAATGCCTCTCAGTTATCTCAATCATGAGAATAACCCCTGAATCCGAATAGAAAGGCAATCTAGCCGAATCAGTTATAATCACGGGGGAGAGAGAGAGGGGATTGGAAAACACGGAGAGAGAGAGAGAGAGAGAGAGAGGGATTGGTTGGGAATGGCTGGGAGAGAGAGAAACGGGTTAGGGCGAGGAGAGGGGTTCGGGGACACACGGGGTAGAGAGAGCGAGAGACCTAGAGAGAGAATGTGGGAAAGTAGAGAGAGAGAAAAAAGGGGTTCGAGAGAACCTCAAGGAATAAGAGATGAGAAAATTGGAGAATATATAAAGTTTCGAATGAGCATGTTTTACTGTTTTTTTTTATATTTGTTAAGGATAAAAAGTTAGTTAAAAATAGATAAAATTAATCCGGGAGTTAGAAGATATATCTTACAATTTTTTTTTTATATTTGTTAAAGGTAAAAAAATAGTTAAAAATAGATAAAATTAATCCGGGAGTTAGAAGATATATCTTATATTTTTTAGTCTATTGAGATATAAAAACAAAAAATAAGGTGTACCGAAATATTTTACTTTTTTTATAAAAAAAAAAGGCAAAAAAAATAAATTTTCATTCACAGGATTCAAACTTCCAACCTTTTTTAATATTTGAGTGTCGATGACAATGAGCCATTACACATTTAAAAATGGGTACAATTGGCATACAGATGCATCCGTAGCTATGGAGGTAAGGTGGACTTTCAAATTTTATCATGGTATATAATTTTGATGTAAAATGTCTTTAGGATTATCTGAAAATCTATTTTTATATCTAATTATAAAATTTTAAATTTGAAAAATAGAAAAAATCAAGTAGATCTATAAACATATGAAAATCTTAAAAATTGGCATTATAGATAATTTGTAGTAAAATAAACTATTTATGAGATTTAAAATCTTTTTATTTTTTATAGTCATACATCTTGAGGTCGAGATGGTCAATTCCAAAGTTTTTTTACCGTTAAAACTACTTTTTTTCGATAGATTTTTTAGGTGCATCCCTAATTCTACATTATAAAGTTGCATCCTTATATAAACTTTTTCCTTTAAAATTTGATTGTATCTTTGGATTTGTACAGTGCCAAGTTTGGGACAGGCCCTGACAGGGCCAAGTTTGGGCCTGAGCCAGGAACTCCGTGGCCTTCTGGGCTGGGATCGGATTGGGTGGGGCTAGGCTAGGCCCAGGCCCCGGCCATTGCCGGTCCTATGCAAACAAGGATGTCATGGGTTCACACCCTACCGGCTTACCCAAATAAAATCACCTCTGTTTTTCCACCTCTTGGGCCCACCCCACCTGGCACTCCTCTCTCTCTTGATGCATTCCACTTGTTAGAGAGATGTTTTGGATTTGGAGTCGTCGTGGTCAACACGTCGAATTTAACTTGCATTCATGAGATAGAGAGAGAGAGAGGGGTAGGCCTTGTCGCAGTGGGAAAGGCGACATTGGTTTTGGTTTGTTGAATGCGGGGATTGAAGAGAGAGAGGAAGGGAGCTTTTGTTTCAGAGAGATGCGGTAAGTTTTCTAGAGAGTGAAAGAGGAGGAGTTTGCCATTTTCTTGTCTTATTTTGTTATCGTGGTCGCGAAGGCGGAGATCACGGTTTGATTTCCTACTCGGGGCTTTGAGGGGTTTGAAATAAAAAAGATTTTGTCTAGTTAAAATTGGTCACATCATAAACTATTTAAATTATATTTAAAAAAAATATATGAAAAAAAATTTAAAAACTAAAATATATTATAAAAAAAGATATATAATTTTATTCAAATAATCTAACAAGTTAAATATTGACAGTACATAAGTCAAATATTGATTTTGAACAACTTTCAGATAATTAAGTTTAAGTTTTATTTTGGACTAAACTGATTGGTCGAATTGGTTAATCTAATATGATTTTGATAACTAAGACCAATACGGAGCCCTTAAGGAAAGACCAATTTCTAGTGAGAGAAGGAAAAAGATAGTGTGAAAGAGGCAAATACACATAAACTTAACATTCTCTTTGGGGTTATAACAAATGTAAATGAACACTTTAACATGTGTGCCAAGGAGCCCTCACTTCCAATGGGAGTGGTCAGGTTGTGGAGTTGCCCGTCTGAATCATGTCAGAAGATGCAATTTCATTATAATGGTCTGAAAATCTATTTTTGCTCGTAATATGAAATTCAAAGCTATAAAGACGATGTTGATTGAGCAAATCTATGAACACTTGAAAATTTTGAAAATAAATGGTCCAAATAATGAGTTATCTTATTTTTAAGACTTAAAATCTAATTATTATTATTCTATTTTTTTTTA